ACTCCACGATCTTTACAACGGTCTGCCGCCTTGAAAATGTAGTCAGTGTATACTGCCTTCCACATCTTGCATAGAACTCGCTGCTCAACCTCTTACGTCGTGCGCGAATACTCGCTGAAGCCAATATTGTAGCTCGCCAAAAGAATAAAGAAATTTCCAGTCGAAAGGGCCATGCCTTTCGTCCATGCCTTTCGTCTTATTGACAGGCTGAGGAGGGTTGTTTGGAGAGGACGCTTTTTACAAGCTTCTACTTGTCTATATTTTGCGGTTGCCTCGGCGGCATCTGTGGCAGATCCTGTCGCGCTTCGATCCGTTGATGGAATTTGCGCAGGTGAAGCGATAGGGGCGTCCATGACGTATATAAATACGGCCCGTGCAGTCTGAGACTCGTTTTTTTGCTGACGAAAAGACCAGAAAACCCACTTCATTTTCCTTCCAGACGGGTCGCTCCGGCGCTGCTGCTATCAGGCGGATCTGAAACCCGTAGAAAACTCAAATGCCCCCAGTTCCCGCTATGATGTGAGTTTTTGCCGAACGCGTTGTCTGAAATTTTGCCTTTCGAAAATATGAACAAATAAGCCTCGAAAACAAGCGTTTCCTGACATTGCGGGCAATCTTATTACATTTATCATATATATATGTTATTTGTAGAGGGGATAAGCACAGACTAAATGAATTTGTCTATGCATATATGTATTACTTTAAATATAAGGCTACCGAACCCACTCGAACTTGGCGCTCCTCCGAGGATTGCGTTTCCTGAGTCCGCTCTTAAAAATGTTCCGAAGGGATTCGTAGTGCGACTCTCTTGAAAAATCTTTCGCATATACCTTCTCAAAATAAGTAGCAAGTTCTGGAACTTCGTTGCAAACAGAACGTATGTGAAATACAATTTGTTCTGGAGATGCAACTGCGTTGCAACTAGCAAGGACCGGAACGTGGCCTTTGAAAAGTCGAATAAGCTCTGATCCGAGGCTCTGAAGATCGCGTCTGCGATAAGACGCTGTTGCCCGACTTGGAAGTGCCTCTGAAACGCCGAAATCGATGAGATAAATCTTATCGCGATCTGAGCGACCAGTCATGATATTTCCGAGGCCAATGTCTCCATGATAGTAGCCAGCAGCATGAAGATGCTTTATCCTGGTTACGAGCTGCTCTCCAACCATTAACGCCGTGCTTGCAGAGAGTCTTCGGGAGTATTCATCCCAATAATTCTTTAGCGAGAAGCCTAAACGACTCATTATAAGAAAAGTAAACTTTCTTTGACTGCCGTAATATAGAAGCTTTGCAAATCCTGAGCTGTGTCCTTGAGCTGCGAGAGCGTTGTAGATCTGGTTCTCTTTCCGAAGAGCTTCAAATCCAACGCTAGTGGGCTCTACTTTTAAGGCACCGCGCGTACCTCTTCTTACATGCTTGACTTCGTACACATCTGAGAAAGACCCAGTGCCAATCATGTTTCCAATTTTCCATCTTTTGTCAATCACGTCTGGAAGGGGCTCTTCATAAATATTCACGTTCGAATTGGGCAAGTAAGTACGTGCCTCTGGGGTCCTACTCCTCCTTCCCATCATTCTAAATAGTAAATAAATAATTAGTCCTTGAGCTCTTTTCGAAGCAGTTGCTCTCTGATGTTGTCGATAACAATTTGGATACTCTCCCTCAAAGCCTCATATCTTTTGCTCTTATACAAATAGAAAACACCCCTGGAAGTATAGATATCCGACCTCCGCATAGACTTTGTAGTAATTCCCTTTATGGATCAAAAGGGTATTTGCTCGGTTCAAACTATTTAATGTAACCGTTAAATAGCTTAAAAGCACCCGATTTGCCATCAAAAATCCTCGCATAAAACAGACCGCTGCAAAAAGAACAGAATAGAATTTTCTCGGTTTAGAACTATATAATATTACCGTTAAATATATTAAAAGTACCCGATTAGCCTCAAAATCCCTCGCATTGGTCTCTTGTTACTACTTGAACTGAAAGTACTGTGATATATAAGTTTAAGAGTAACACAAAAGGCCAAATACTGAAAATTTAATTAACAAAGCAAAAGCTCTATGCACGAGTTAAAAAGTGGTTTCAACTTCAGAAACAAGCAAATGGAAAATAACGCAGAAAGGCCTCTAGAATAACGTTAACAGGTAAGAAAGAAGCACATACGGGTTTTGACGACATAAATGAAATGATCTTTTAGAAAACAACCCAAGAAACTGACAGAAGCCGACAGATAGGGATACTTCTACTCTTCATTGTCTATGTGTATATGCTTCGAAGTCCAAGTATGATTTTCGGAAACCTTTTGCTGATATTTTAAGTCGCTTGGATGTTATCTGGTACCATTCATATTCCCAACGACTATAGAGGGGGTCGTGATATCTTATCGTCGGTTCTCAACGATTCGTTTCAAAAATTTTCTCTGTAATGATCTCACCTGCGCCTTCCATAACAATCTGAATTCAGTTTTTGTGCAACACAGAACCACTATGAAGTTATTTAGTGCCCCTTTTCCTTCAAATGTGGCTCTGGCCACGTGAAAATTTCCGTCTTTAGCACAATTTAGCATATAGTAAGTGTTTTCTCCAGTTTCAAAGCAGATTTCAGAGCAAGGGACACGTACTTTTGATCAGATACTTTCAAACGGATTGAAAGAAGAATGCATTCAACCCCTTTCTATGTTTGCAAATATGTATACAGTGTGAAGCATTTCCGGTCGAGGCTGTTCATAATACCTAGCTGCAATCCAATGTAGCACTTACTGTGGCGATCGATCTCTCCAATGCCCATCATGAGATGCGGACAAGAGAATTTATTTAATATCATTCTTAGAAGACTTCCGACTGTGGCAGTATCTCATTAAAATTAAAAGAAAGAGTTTCCATGGCAGACAAAATAAACAAGTGCGGTCTGACTATAAGGTGGACGATCTATGCACTTTTATTACAGATCACGGAGGAGAAACTGCCATCGCTTCGGATGTTTTATTAGTACAGCTTTGGAGATAATCTTAGTTCACTAGGACTAAGAGTATCTGGAAACCGAGTTTCTGCCATGCGGCTGTGGGCTCATGCGGAAAGCTCAGGGAGGATGTTGTAGCAGGCATGAAAGATAGTTGAACCGAATTCATCATCGTAAGGAGCAATCATTATCTGCCAGATAAAGACCACAAACAATAGATCACATGATGACAAGAGCACAGTATGCATCGCTCTGGATTAAAGGCACCTGCCATACACGTACTACAATGGCATCTCCTATTTCGTGAAGAGAACCCTGCGAGTCAAATCAGAGAGCAAGAGCGTTGTCCACTTTGATCCTTTTGTTTAGTACGATAGGATGTATACATCATGAACAGTATCTTCTCACTGTGTGAAAGCGTAATTCTCGTCGTCTTTCGTAGCAACTATTAGCGAGGATGTAATTCAATCTCACCAAGCAAGGTTGTAAGTGACAGCAATATAGCATCGATTACTACTAAGCTTCCTTTCTCTTTTCTGCGTTGTCGTGCTGTGGGTGTTATGCCTTTATTTATCGCTTGTATGGATAGTCAGAGCGCAGCCCTTCTGTGTTTATAATGGACCGGAGTATACATAGAGTAAAGGCCTGAGTTGACCACATATGCAAAAGAAATATCAATGCGCTCCGTGACTCAGGATCCGCTTTATGTAACGTCGTTTTCTTTGCGGAAAAACACTAATCTGTCCATGAGAGGCCCATCTCTTGATGGTATGCGTTTCTGTTGAGGGTACAGTTTTCTACCTCAACTCTTCCTCTCCGGTTCTAAGCAAGGATCAAGTAATGCGTTAGGAGTCTGCTGTAGTGACACACGAGGTTGATTAGTTTCGGTATAATCGGACCCATAGTCGAAGGCCCGTATCTAACATGCTACTGTATTGATTTCATTAGCCTTGATCCCTCAAATAAAGAAGAAGAACAAGTATTGATTTCCCCAATTCAGCAGAATTGAGGTCGACTACGTCATACAATCTGGAACGCCGTGAGACCGCATCTGCACATGTAATGCGGTATAAAATGGTTCTCGTGCGGCAATTCTAACAAAATAGACACACAAGTTTAACGGATTCCAACCTGGTAGAACATGAAAAGACATGCTTAAGTGTTTACGAAAAAGCGATGTCAACCTTTTTTGGGGGCAGTCTGTGGTAAGCGAGAGCTCGTGAGAGTGACTGTGATAGGTACTACCGACGATGTAGAAATGGAGACGGATTGCAAAGGTCGAGGTGGAGTTGGTTGCGGGCCCGTATGTATGTGCTGTGCTCGGAGGGCAAGAATAATAAGGAGGGCATTGTTGCACAGTCTGCGGGGAATAATGGTCAAGGTGAAGGTGGAGGCGTGTTGCCGTCATGGTTTATTGTAAAGGACACTAGCTCAAGTAGGGAGACAAAATTGCCGGTAGAGAGACAGAAAACACCACTCGATGTCCGGGTGCACCGCGACTCGGAGAGAAATGCAAACTATTGGGCACCCAATGATGCTAGAAAAGGTGGCCCTTATCGAAATATAACCCTCTATTAATGACTTTGAAGATAGAATGGCGCTAAGGTCTATCCGACCGGGGCTTGTTCTCACATGAAGACGGCGATGTCCTCGTATGAGGACAGCTCTTTTTTTTTGCAAAAATATATAAATGAAATTGAACATTCAAAAAGCTACCTTGAGCACTATTTCCTTAACGTGCTTGTTTTCGGCAATAGCATATTGCAGAACACCGGGATAGCAGCTTTGAATACGCTGAAAGCCTAAGAATACAATGCAGATTGAGTACCAAGTCGCCTTTTTAAACTGGCGTTTTTGGTTTCGAAGTTATTTTACATGCGGTTTTAAGGTGGTTTAAAATCTTGTTTTGCAGACAGATCGAAAAACAACCAGGAAGAACAAGCAATTCTCCCCAAATCAGAAGTCAAGTACGGTGGCGCGGATTTTTTTTCTTTCTTGTTGAGGAAGCGGAAGTCAAGAATAAAATAGGTCGAACAATGTCCTCATATGGGGACAATGGTCCAATAGACACTAGACACGGAAATATCGAGCGCGGTGCAGCAAGCTTCTTCTGCCAGTACGATACATATTCTCGGCCAGCGGCAGTAGAAGCGTGTTGACAGATTGCCCGTGGTTGGTATTTTCATTTGTTGTTTCTCTACTTCATATAAAGTAATTGTTACAAGCGGGGTATGGCCCTAAGAAACAGAAGCTAACCGCCCAAGCTAGAAACAGATTAGTTAATCTCTGACAGCGGAATCTTGCACGATGAGGTTAGCTCCGAAAACGCCCCAGACTGACGTGGAGCGCAAAAACGCGGCACCTCGAACGCACGCCGTTCAAAGCGGCGAAGCAGCAGAGTATGCGCAAGCTTGCTGCAGCGCCAGAGTATTCCTTTGTCCACCTTGGTGAGCGAGCCTCTCTGAGTATGCAAAACTGGCGCAACCCATCACGCAGACGCGTCGACGTAATAATAGTCGCTCTTCTCGTCGTACGTAACAGGGACGCCGCCTGGATACTTTTGATGCAGTGCAGTCAAATGACGCAAGCCCATCTTCACATGTCCCCTCACGGCCTCGCGATCCTCTGCGCGTCCGATCTTGACCAGGCGTTGCCTTGTCTTCTTCTGGCAGATGCGGTCCTCCAGCGAGCAGCCAGTCTCCGCGGGCGTCGCCTCCTCCGTCGACGTGTGGCGGTAGTACGCAAGTCCTGAGTTGGAGCCGGCGATATAGCACGGCGAGTCGGCGTTCCCGGGGAAGATCTCCAACAGGGCACCGAACGGGTGCATGAAGACGGCGTTGACCAAGTTGGCGCCGTGAATACCCACGACAAAACCCACGCCGGCGATGTTCCGCACCTGCTCCGCCAGGCTGTCATTTGCTGACGTGGTAAACATGTGCAGCTTCACGCCGCTGGCGTCCGTCTCGTTCCGAAGCATCTCCACAAACCACGCCTCATCATCGTCGCTAAACCGGCGCTTAGTCCCGACCAAGTGTACATTCCCGCCCTTAGCGTCCTGCGCACCGAGCCTGCGCGCGTACCCGAGCACCAGCGGCGGGAGCTCCGCCACGCGCACGGCATCGACCTCTGGCAACCTCGCTTCGACACTGACGCCCTTGTACACGGCCCTCTTAAACTCGACGGCGTCCGCCGGCACAGCCAGGCCGTCGAGCGGGACGCTCGTAGCGTTCGGAAAGAACCAGACATTAACGCTCCCCCTCCTCCCCAGCACGACGGCATTCCGCACGCAAAGCTGTTCGTCGGCGCCCCACTCCGGCAGGTAGATGGTCTCAACCTCGACGCCGCCCTTCTGCAAGCGGTGGGTCCACAGCATCTCCAGGAGCTTAGCCTGCCATGCATTGGTGTTCCGCGAGCCCTCGAACAAGACGTTAACCCTAGTGACGCGGGCGATGCCGTCCGCAAAGTACGGGGCGGCGGCGCCGCCGGGCGCGTGCACATGGCCCAGGCCCCAGTCCTCGAGCAGCGCCTGCAGATGTCCGGCGACGTGGGCGACCGACGCGAGGACGTTGCCGTAGTGGTAGATGTTAGCCGGGTACGGGTAGCTCGGGACGACGAGGGTGAGATGCTCGAGCCAGGCGGCGCGGCCGGAGGCGGCGGGGGCGGCGGAGATGAGCGGGCATTGGGGGCCGTTCCGCTTGAGGCCGGGGCCGTGCGCGCAGGAGACGAGCTCGCGCTGCAGGCCCTGGCACGTGTCCGAGGAAGGAGGGCGGTCCGCCCACGGCAAGGCCGAGGCGAAGCGCGAGGTGGAGAGCTGGCACACGGTGGCGGAAGGCGGCGACGACGGGAGGAAGGCGGCGATGCGGTGCGGGGCGGCGGGGGAGGAGAGGTTGAGGCAGAGGGACGAGGAGAGGCAGAGCGCGCGCGAGTTGAAGCGCCAGGACGGGCCGGCGGCGGCGTAGAAGTGGCACTTGTCCGGCGGGTGCGGGATGAAGGCAGGGGGCGCGGGTTTGTGCGGCGGCGGCGGCCAGATGTGGGAAGGCGCGGAGCGCGGAGCGCGGTTCTTGGCGAGGCTGGTGAAGGCGCCGGGGAAGAGCGTGAGGACGACGAGCAGTACGAAGGCCAGGACGGAGAAGGTAAGGATAACGAGGGACGAGGCGGAGGACGACGGGACGTGGGTGGCGGTGGTGCGGAAGAGAGGCTTGATGTGGGCGTTGCGGGAGAGGGGGGAACGGTCGCCCATGGGGACGGTGCGGTGGGGCGGGGCTGGTGCGGTGGGGCGGGGCTGGGAGGAAGGGGACGCAGGGAGGGGAAGGAGCGGAAGAAGAGGAAAATATGCGTGATTTGAAATGTGCTGCCTTGCCGTACAGTAGCGGAGAGATCTTTCGTGGCGGCAGGGCCCGTGGATCACGGGTATACAGTATTTCTCGTCTCTGACCGCACAGGACAGCCTGTCCCGCACAGGACAGACTTAACCCACGAGCGACGAGTAAACGAGGAGTCATCGGTACATGTGCACGACTACACGTGTAGCGCTTTTTTAGTGAGGACGCACTAATTACTTTCGAGTCTAGTTAAAGTTTACAAGTATTGAATAAACAAGAGGGGGACGCACTCGCGACGACACGTGTCGAGAATACAGTGTAATGAGAGACAGACGTCGCGGAACACGTGGCAGTGTCAACGGCGCGTTCCCCCGCGTGCTCCTACTCATCAGCGTCCCACTGGATGTGCCAGCGGTCCTCGACGTTGTCCCTCGTCACCGGCGCGGCCCCGTCGGGAAACCGTCGCCACAACTCGTTGAGGTGCTCCACAGCCGCGCGCACCATCCCCCTCAGCCGCTCGCGTCCCGCCCCGATCTCGACCACGCGCTGCCGCAGCCGCAACCGGCACTCGATCTCGCGCTTGTCGCACTTCACCTCCTCCCCCTCCCCCTCTAGCCGCCAGTACGCCAGCCCGGAGTTCATCCCGCCCACGTAGCACAGGCTCCCGACCCCGCCCGGCACCACCTCAACCACGGCCCCGAACGCCCGCACGAACATCCCGTTCACCAGGTTCGCCCCGTGGATCCCCACCATGGCCCCCAGCCCCGCCGCGTTGCCCACCTGCTCTTCGAACCCTTCGTCGCGCGTGGTAAACGTCGTGAATTCCACGTCCCCCGCCGCGCACTCCTCTTGCACCATGTCCACAAACCACCGCTCCTCCTCCTCCGAGAACCGCCTCTCCGTCCCGCGGACGGCCACGTTCGCCGCCAGCTTGCCATCTCGCACCTCCGCGGCCCCGACGCGTCTCGCGTACCCGACGCGCCGCGGCGGCAGCCGCACGCGCATCCCGTCAAACACCCCGTCCACGCCCGCGGCCCGGTACGCCGCCTCGCGCACGCGCAGCGCCTCACCGGGCACGCTGCGCCCGTCCGTGGCCACGGCGCTGTCGTTCCCGAACGGCCACACGTTGACGTGCCCGCGCATCCCGAGCACCACCGCCTTGCGCATGCACCGCCACTCCTCGTCCCCCTCCCGCACGAACTCCACATCATCTCCCAGCACCGCCTTCAGCAGCCCCTGCTGCCACTCGAGCCTGCTCCTGGGCCCTTGGAACACCACGCGCACCCGCCCCTCTCCCGCGAGCTGCCGCGCCCGCGCCTTGACGTACGCCACCCACGCCACCATGTTCCCGTAGTGGTAGATGTTGGCCTCGAACGGGTACTCCGGCACGAGGACAGTCACGCCCTCATCCCAATGCTCGCGCCCCATCTCCGCCGCGGACAACGTCGCCTCGGCCGGGCACGCCGGCCGGTTCATGCCGAGCCCCGACCCATGCGCGCAGGTCACCAGCGCGCGCTGCAGCACGCGGCACCCGCCGAAACGGTACTCCGCGCGAGCTGCCGCCGACGCGCCGCGGTCAGACAGACCCGTCGATAGGACGCCGCACGCGGAGGTGCGGTTGCCTGCGCGAACGTAGCGCGAGGTGGAGGAGGTCCGGGAGACGCAGATGGAGGAGGTTACGCACAGGCTCCGGGCGTTGAGGGGGAACGGCTCGAGGCGGGCGGGGTCGGAGCCGATGATGTAGCAGCGGTCGGCGGGGGGCAGCGGCGGCAGCAAGGGGAGAGGTGGAAGCTCGGGGGACGAAGTGGCGAGGAGGGTGATGGTTGAGTAGGCGACGCGGCGGCTCAGAAGGACGAGCGAGGCTAATAGTAGCGCCAAGAGGAGGAGCAGCGGGACGCGGTAGGGCGCGCGCCGATGCCTCTTAAGAGTCGGCTTGACGGACGGGAGGAGGGGGGTGGTCGTGATGCGCGGCTTAAGGCGGTGCGTGCGCGACATGGCGAGGGTTTGAGGGGGAACCGGGGGAGGACGGAGGTGGTGAAGGTGGGGGGCAACGGGGCAGGCGTGTGGACTACATACGAGAGATTGAAGGAGGACGGCGTGGGGAGGCCGGCTTGGACGGGGAGAGCAGCGAGCGGCCACGCAATGGGGGGCGCAGGTGAACTGTGCCGGAATTTGGAGGGTGTGTTACATGAGCCAAGTGCAGCGTTGATTGGGTTCTCGCCTGACTACACTCCCTCGTTAGAACACATTGGCGTCTACCGGCGAGCACTCCAGTCCGTCGCCCTAATCTAAAAATGTGAACTGTTCGGCACGCGTGCACGTGACTTGTTCAGAGCATCATCACTGTCATCGCCTTGACGAACAGTACAGTACCAAGGGTACCCTCAGGAATCCTGATTTCTGTGAAATACCACATTAGGACCGCCCCGCGATGACAGTATCCTGACTCAGAATTCACAGAAATAGGCAGGTGATGTAAAGCTTTAGGAAAAATAAAGAGAATTTTATGTTGGTCAACCCTTCGACCGGATTGATATCTCGCAATGATGGGGGCTCGTGTGATCGAGCCACTCCACCTGCGGGATGTCGAACACTAGACAGACTATTCTGTCTGTCTCTCCTTCTTCCTCTCTCGCTATCCGAGAGAGGGCCTTGCTTATAAAGGCAGAGAAAAAACAGGCAAGGGCATCTACCTTACAGTAAGGACAAACTTTACCTCCCGGCCCGTCTGGTCATATATTAATTTACACAATTAATTTACACAATATAATTACACTGTCATCGCGGGGCGGTCCACGCTTGCCCGTCCTCGCCACTCTTCACTTCTGCCCCGCCCGCCTGCCCCACTTGCTGCGCAACCATCCCGCCCGTCCCCGCGTTGCGCACATCCGCTACCACCGCCTGCACCACTGCATCTCCAACTGGTGCGGGAGCCTGAATCGCTTCACCCCCGCTCGGTGCCGGCGCTTGCATCACCACGTCCCCCCCGGGTGCCGCACCCTGCATCGCCTCGCCTCCGACGACCGCATGAGCCGCCATTGAGACACCTCCTCCCCACGCCTGCGCCGGTCTCGCTTCTCCGAAGATTCTTGCCGGCGGCGGCGCCCCCCAGCCCGCGTCCGGCTGCAGAGTTTCTCCGGTCTCCCATGCGCGCGCCGCGGGCATGCCGACCCCGTCGTCCTTGCGCGGCCTGCACATAACCAACGCCGCCACCACGATCACGGCAAGCACGGCCGCGCCCGTCGCGATGGCGACGATGGCCCACGTGGACAGCCCCGCCTTCTCCACGAACACGGGGTCCGTCCGGCTCGCGGCGCTGTACGTCGCGCCTTCCGCGTCCGCAAACCGCCGGAAGCTGGCCACGCGCATGTTGATCGTCGGGAACTGCCCGTCCGCACACTTCACGCCCGCAGAAACCACCGCCACTAGCACCGCCTCGCCGCCCGCAGTGTACTGCACGAGCGGGCCGCCGCTGTCGCCGAAGCTGCCATGCGCGCCCGAGAGGGGGGGGGGGGGAGAGAGGGAGAGAGACGTGTGTTAGTCGGGCGTGTGCAGCTGCGACGTGGGTCGGCGTGCGCATGGTGGGGCGCGCACTTACCAGGAGCCGCATCCGGAGCGTCCGAGGTAGCCCGAGCACACGTGCACCGAGTCGGAGAAGCCCGCGTCAATGACCGGCACGTACCGTCGCGCGCACTCGCGCGAGGACACGGTGGGGACGTCGACCTGCGCAAGCGGTCGGGCCCTGTCCTTATCGCCGTGGAACTTGGAGCCGAAGCCGACGACGCGCACGAAGGAGCCGGCCTCGGGGATGGAAACGTTGACGTTGAGCCTCATGGGGACGGCGGCGGCCGGGGCGTCGGTCTCCAGCTCGAGGAAGGCGATGTCGTTCTGGCGCGACACCTCGTCTTCTTCGTCGACGTAGGCAGGGTGGTGGTGCTCTTCGCGGATTTTTAGAAAGACGGCGTCCACGTTGGAAGGGTGCGACCGTAATGAGTTGCGTAGCAGCAGGCCCGCCGTGTCAGACGAGGTGAGGCCGCAGTGCGCAGCGGTGACCACCCAGTGCGGGGAGATCAGTGTGCCCGTGCACACGAAATGGCTGCTGCCGCGGAAGAGGGCGACTAGCGAGGGCGAGAGGAGGACGGACGCGGAGTCGCCGTTGACGATGCGCGGGGTGTGCGGCGGGTCCTGGTTGTAGATAACTGGGCAGCGCGAGGAGCGGGAGAGGAAAGGGAGTGTGGTGGCGGAGGAGAGGTACAGGAGGAGCGCGAGGA